AATCTAATTATATCTATATGTTAATACGTGAAGCAAAAACTTTGTATCCCTTTTTACGAAAATTGCGCGGACGGAGGAGTATGAAATTTCCCACACTTATAGAGAATATAGAGAAAAAGTGCCGAATGCTAATTATTTTTAAATTATGCCTAAAAAATACATTAAATCAATAAAAAAAGCATTACACACACTGCCATGTATATGCTACAACACATACATATAAACATACTATTTGTTTATTGTCAATTGTCAAACTTTTGTTATTGTTTGTGGTCAAATTGAGAATAGATCAAAATTGTTTGTTTTTCAGATTATTTATCTATGTGTACTTTTGGCGAAATCTATGATTATAATAAAGAAGTATAATATGACAATAGAACCGAAATAATGTTTAAACATAAAATTTCAATTAATTATAGTCGAATTTCGACTACTGCCGGACCACTAGTTCTAATAATTATACATTATATTATCGGTCCAATCATTTTCATTACATCAACTGTGTACCTACCTATCTATTAAATCTTCTAAATGTCAAAGTTCTTAACACACGACGACAAATACAAAGTATATTACCACAATTGTTGACAAACTCCTAAGCACTATAAGCCGTCAACAGAGTCGGGACAACCCTTTCGAAACGTAAAGATCAAACATCCATACAAAGCCTACATAAATAACAAATCCATCGAACATCGTAAACAATGGGACGAGAAGCTCGACAAGATGGCCGAATCCGGGAAACAAGATGGCGGATTTGCATAAACAGATATCACACACCATATTCAAATTCTCAATTGTGTTGGAATGTATATTTACCACAATATAAATGGAACGCTAGATAAGACAATACGTACAATTTAGTTTACTTAAAATTAGTTTTTAAAATCGAAAATAATATTAGGTAATTAAAGTGATAAAATGGTATTTGGGATAAAATTTGCTCTTTTCACTCTCAAGTTCACAAATTGCTGCGAGAATTGTGTCCATTGCTGCGTGACAGAATTAAATTTTTGTTTCTTCTTTTATTGTCCAATAGCGTGACATTAATGAGGTCTAGACTCATAAATTCGTTTCAAACATTTAACGTCATAAATAAAAATATTACTCGGTTACCAAACGCCGGTAATGAGACATAATTGTACAAATAAATTTACTGTTGTCATCCGGATAATTAATGGATAAATAATAAAGCAAAATTTTAATTAGAAGCGAGGACTTGTAACGAATGTCAATATTTTTTTATTAATTCAAGCTTAGTGTTAGTTTAGTGCGTTATATACAAAGTGATACATATATTTTAAATGAGTCCGTCAACATAAAAGTGGTCTAAGCTTACCATAGTTAGTATGGAGATAATGAGATTCGAATTTACCTATACAATACTACGTAGGTAAAAAAATACGCGCGAAAATGATGTTTACAAAGTAATCTGTTATCTATGGATGAAACTAGGGATAGGCCGATTTTGCATCAAAATTTATTATGTTTTAAATAAATTTCAATACATAAGCACGAATATGAATTGTGGGTTAGGCCACTGTTGCGCTGACGGCCTCATATCGTCTTCATTAGGTATACCTACATGTAATATCGTTAACTAGCTATGCCTGCGGATTTAGAGAGGTTCACAACTCACTTATTACTTAGTTGTTAGCTGCATAAAACATAGATAGGTTAATGTGAATCTGTAATTACTCTGAAACATTATGGCTTACTTTGAGACTGGTGGTACGGTAATAAGTAAGTCCGCATGGGTAGTTATGCGTTCAGTTTTGAAAGGATGGGATATTTAGTATACTATACAGGTGAGATTTGGAACTCATGTCTCTGGGTGGGTGACAGCATTTACGTTATGGATGTATATGGGTTCCGGTAGCCACTTAAGCCCAGGTAGACTGTGAGCACGTTCACCCGTCTAGGCAATAAAACACATAAAGGAAGAACTAAACAATCGATTAACTCATTTATAAACAAAAAAATATTTTGAAATCCAATAAGTTTTTTGGCTTCATAAAATTGAATTGTAAATTACTAATAATTCCCCAATCAACATTTTCATAATGTTTGTATACTTAAACGCAATGAACACATTTTATTTAACATATACTTGATTTGACTTTCATAATAGATGACAGAATTTGGGCGGACGAATCCATAGATAATCCGGTATTGAGTGGTTACCGAATTATGTACATAGATATCATAAATTCCGCCACTGAACCTCATAGTAGATAGAATTGTTGCGCGGTAGAATCCTTTAAACCCTCCAGTACCTCCCACTCACCAGCAAACCACGCACTTAATAGAATTAAAAAAACACAATAAGATACCAACTGCGATTACTTGTAGGTAACCATTTATCAATAATTATTGAACACGCAACTCCGTCAAGTGAGTGTCTGCGGATTAATTAATTTGATTGTAATTTGTTTTGTTCTGGTTGCAATTTTTTTTTCTTGCCCTTGTAGGCAGACGTGCATACGGCCCACCTGATGGTGAGTGGTTACCGTCGCCCATGGGCTTCAGTAATGCCAGGGGCAGAGCCAAGCCACTGCCTACCGCTTAATACTCTCCACAAGCCTCGTTTGAAGAAGGACATTATTTATTATAATGAATTGCTGTTCGTAAGTCTCGCTAAAACTCGAGAACGGCTGAAACGATTTGGCTAATTTTGGTCTTGAATTATTTGTGGAAGTCCAGAGAAGGTTTAAAAGGTAGGTAGATAAATGTGAAAATGCTTGGAATTAAATAAAAATAACAATTTTGTTTTTCCTTTGATCTGTCCCCCGTCGGACGGATTCCTTTTGTTTGTTTTAAGTTTATTTTATACAGAAGTTTAGATCTTTTATTTATCGATTGAGGCACTACGAAGTCTGCCGGGTCAGCTAGTATATAATAATATAGGTATAAAAAAGGAATTGCTGTTAGTTAGTCTCGCTAAAACTCGAGAACGGCTGGACCGATTTGGCTAATTTTGGTCTTGAATTGTTTTTGGAAGTCCAGAGAAGGTTCAAAAGGTGAATAATATATGAAAAAGCTCGGAATTAAATAAAAATAACAATTTTGTTTTTCCTTTGATCTGTCCCCCGTCGGACGGATTCCTTTGTTTGTTTTAAGTTTATTTTATACAGAAGTTTAGATCTTTTATTTATCGATTGAGGCACTACGAAGTCTGCCGGGTCAGCTAGTATATAATAATATAGGTATAAAAAAGGAATTGCTGTTCGTTAGTCTCGCTAAAACTCGAGAACGGCTGGACCGATTTGGCTAATTTTGGTCTTGAATTGTTTTTGGAAGTGCAGAGAAGGTTTAAAAGGTGAATAATATATGAAAAAGCTCGGAATTAAATAAAAATAACAAATTTGTTTTCCTTTAATGTGTCCCCCGTCGGACTGATTCCTTTTGTTTGTTTTAAGTTTATTTTATACAGAAGTTTAGGTCTTTTATTTATCGATTGAGGCACTACAAAGTCTGCCGGGTCAGCTAGTATATATATATTTGTTCACCTATTAATTTTATTGCTAAAAAACGCTCTCTACTACTCGGGAAAAGTCTTGTTCTTCCATCATCATAGTACCAGGATCCTTGAATCACCCCCATGAGCATTCGAACCATGGCACAGCCATTGATCTTCACCAACAAAACCGATTTTGTATATTCAAAAATTTACCGTTAAAAAAAACTATTTTTACGGTTTATACTCGCGTTTTTATTGTCATTACATTATTTAATTTGAGCTTCATTACGCTTATTACTGAATATAGGTATTCCTATATCATTCAGAGTATTCAGTTTTCATCTAAAGTATACTCCTGATTTTGATGAATTATCGGGCGCTTAGGTACTGTTGATTCTCTATTATGTTAATATCTAAAGCTAACAGTGAAACAGAACTGTTTGTCAGCAAGGCACGACTCCGCGAAGAACCAATTGGCTCGTCCAAAGAATAGTAATATTTGTGCCATCATTATTAAAAAAACTTACAAATTATTAAATATTAAATTATTTCCATTTATTTATTATGCACTTATCTGTAGTACTTCAAGTCTGGCTGGGATGTATATTTTATTAGAATATTAATTTAATTTTAACTACACAATTAATTACTTAGTGGTTAATTAACAAAGTATTGATTGTAAATAAAGAATGTGTTATTTAATTGTGGTTAATTCATTACTATAATTATGAAGTGTTTGGAAAACATTTTGCTAGTTTACATAAATGTATTTACAATGATTTAGGACTTCAACTGACATTCATTGAGTATGTATGATTCAAACATTCAGTAGGTTTCCTATGAATTCGGATTTGTATTTCGAACACCGTTGATAAAAATAAAGAAACTTTAATTAGTTTTGATTCATTTTGTGTATAGTTTTAGTGTAAGTCTAAAATTACCAATCGTGTTTCAGTCAACATACATAGTATCCAACCATTATCTTGCTTATAAACCTACATTATCTTCTTATTCTTTGGTGTTCACGATATTGCATTATTTTATGATTAATTATTTTTATCTACCATTAACAACTTTCATATTTTATTTATTTCATAATTTAGCAAACAATTTTATGAGTTTAAATATGAGTTCAATTTTTTTCTTTCATAATCAAGCTACATCAAAAATTATCATGGCATAATTAAATGTTCGTAAAAACTAGCTGATCTATAACTATGGCTATAACTATAAGAAATATTCTCAACAAACTCAATATGAAGTTGAAGGGTGCTAAAAATGAAAAGGTCCACGCGTAGACTGACTTTGTAACTTTAATCGATTCTTAATTATCTCGAGGACAGAAATTAAACGTTAACTAATTAACTACTAAAACAAAAAATAACTTGGAACATTTGTTGAAATACGAGAACACAACTTTACTAACTAACGACAAGACGTGATGACAAAAAAGATCTAGCCGGCGAACGAATCGGTGGACGAACCAAAGATTACAACGTGCTCAGTAAAGAAATAATTAGATTGATAGATTTTAACTAACCTGTTATATGGCCAACAGGAAAATGCGACTGGAACAAAGGTCCAAATGATGGTACTACCGGAGGTGCTCCAGACCAGCCCATGCCGTGGTACGCTGCCGCCGCTGCCGCTAGAGCGCTAAAAGCCATTGGCCTCACTAATCTCCCCTTATCGCTAACAGACGGTCTATCTTCGTCTTCACTCTGAGTGCCATTCTGAGAATCTTCCACGTCGACTATCGAATGTTCATCGTTTGTTGAACCTTCATGCTCATCTTCATCGGCAGATGCATTGTGATTCAGGGGCGGTGTCTGTGAAGCTGGTCTCGGCGACATGTAATTACCGCCGGGCAACTCGACTTGCGCTGATGGCGACTGCCTGAGCGGAGACTCGGGGATCGTCCTGTGGTGTCTGATGAGCTCGGCGCGGTCCACTTTATTATCGGCGAGAATCGAGGCTACGCTGAAACTTATTCTCGCTGGCTTCGGTGGTTCCGTAGCCTCGACCGGGCTGCTCGGATACCGCGACACACTCTCTATAGCCATATTAACTTCCTTGTCCTCGCAACTTTGATTCTTTAACATTGAACCCTGGTCAGTTCCATTTATCACATTCGGTCACAGTTCGCGATCGAGGGATCGTGTACGCATGCGGGCGCGGTCGGAGGCTAACTGGCGTGGGTGCGGGCGGACGGGGTCTGGGGAGCCTCGAGCCGGCTCCGGGCGTGGCCTCAGGGCTCCGCCCCGCTCTCTCTCCGTCCCTCTCGTCCAATCGACCGTCCGGTGCCGATTTGATCCGAGCGGGGGCCGAGGGGAGAGCGATTTAGCACGCTCTTATCTCGTTAGTCTCTTTTGTGATACTCGATTTTTTTTGTAGGAATCAAAACATAATTACCTTTTGTAGGGGCTCGCGCGTTTTGATCGCGCACTTTATGTCCACCCGAGGTATAAAGTATAAAAATATAATGAGGAATCGTGAATGCCGCTTGTTAAATCCCTTTGAGCGGTTCTCGAGTTTACGTTTGTGGGATTAGCGCCGAGGGGGCACCGCGCCGATGGGTTTCGGGACTCGATGTTTACAGATCCGTTTCAAATTAGCCTAAGTGATTTAATGTGACATGCCCACTATTATTTGTACGATGATTTATTTACGTTCTGACATTTTGCGGTGGGTAATCCTCGTTTCTCAGATTTACCTTTTGTCGCCTTCAATGATAATTAGGAGCGGCTCCTAAAGAAGGCCCCGCGTCGTCTCGAGATTACAAATAATAAAAACAACAACACAATACGCTTAAATACATAAATCTGGGTTGGTTATAATCATTTTCATGAATAGAACAATTTAAGCCTAATTTCTGATGAACGATAGTTATGCGTGATATTTAATTTATAACTTGAATGAGTCAGGGTTAAATATAGCTAGATAAATAAATCAAAATTTTACGTTTTCGCTTAGATACTTCTGTGAAGTATACCAGGGTATATTTCTTACTTTTAATATACCTAGATACATCCAGCTATTTCGTTGACACATTATATTATCATTGTCTATTAGAAGATAATTAGAAGGTCAGAATGCAAAACGACGCTGGCCTTTTGTAGCGACTAACTTCACGTCTTCATCTTCCTTTTCTAGTAACAGTATCCTTCGCACACCAAAATTTGGATTTTGATTCTGGGTTCGAGTCTGGGTTGTGATTATCTAGAACCCAAAAAGTAGTAAAAGCCATTATACAAATTCTATTGAAATTTTAATCTTTGAGGCAGACAGCGGAGCTTAGTGCTGCCACTAGGCCAGTTATTAGTTTTCCACTATTTTCTTGACAACTTTTACATTTGCCATACAGTGAGCATAGTGAGAGTAGGTACCTACAGTAGACATTCCTTATCTGTTTACAATTCTTCAGTAAAATCTATTCACTAAGCCAGAACGCCTATGTAGTATTTTATCCTTATTTAACGAGTCATAGACATAATTAAAACATACTTTAAAATATTAATCTCGGGCTTATAATTATCTTTATTTTCATATTCTCAAAAATTTTGCAGTTTTCAAGGTCACCGTCCGCTATACCTGTTATGAAAATAATTAGTTTAAAAAGGATAATTTAAAAAAATTGTTGAGTGTTTTACCAGCGTCATTTTTTCGATAAATACCGAGTATGCTACGGGAAATATCTATATATTAATACGTGAAGGAAAAACTTTGTATCCCTTTTTACGAAAATTGCGCGGACGGAGAAGTATGAAATTTTCCACACTTATAGAGAATATAGAGAAGGAGTGCAGAATGTTAATATTTTTTTTTAAATTGTGCCTAAAAATACATTAAATCAATAAAAAAAACATTACACACGCTACCATGTATTTGAGGCACACACGCATGCATACTATTTATTTATTGTCAAACTTTCGTTCTTGACGTCTGTGGTCAAATTGAGAATAAATTAAATATTGTTTGTCTTTATTAATATTTTTAATAGTGTAGTATTGGCGAAATATATGATTATAGAAGTTTAATAGTGTTTGAAAATAGAATCGTAATAGTGTAGAAACTTATAATTTCGATTTCGAATTTCGACTACCGGGCGATCACTAGTCAGTATAAATAAGAGATACATATATCTAATAGCCTAGGTATATCTTATCACTTTACAGTTGAATTGACAATCTAAAAATACCAAATAATAGGGGACATCTTATACCAACGCCCTTAGACTGCAAGATGCCGTTACTAGGGGATCCCTGCTTCAATAACCTCTTCCTTCTCATACTTACGTCCAATTATATAAATCTGTCTCTTTCCAGTTATGGTTGGTCTCAAATAGGTATTTTGTATTCGGAAGGGTACCCTGTTAATTACGTGGGGTGAACAGAAAAATCTGCTATAATTATTTTATTACTCTGTGCCTTATCACGAAGGTGTAAGAATAAAATTCCTTTGTCATTATTAGGTTATTTTATTCGTTTCCTTATGCGTAAATGCGGTATGTGAATGCGTTGATATAAATTTAGAATAATAACGGTTTCGTTAAATTCTAGCAAACTCAAAGATTTTATGTGGCATTGACCTTTTATTTGGATTACATATTTATTAAAAAACTAAAATGTGTTAAGTTTTTATTTATTTATACATAATTAACATTTCATTCCAATTCTGCTCCGTATATAATCGTGAAAAATATTTACTATTGATAAGACAAGCTTTAAAGTGGTGAAAGCAACTTATATTGTTTGTGCTTTAAGTAATATTAGCACGACAAATTGTGTCTTAGAATTATTTCAATGTAGGTAATTAAGAAAATAAGTTCCATAAGAACTAAAACTTATATTTTCTTCCAGACTTATAAGCATGGACGGAAACTTGTACGATACCCACCTTGAGATATTCCATTCTATTTTACTACGGTTGCCTTAAGCTTCCAGCACAGAGAACTAGGCCGCTACAAAATCAGTCAGGATTGGCATCCCTACCCGTGCAAGCTCACTGCAAACATAATTACGGAAATTAACTTTCAATTACGCCACGTTATCCTCTCATCACAGAGGTCAATCGCAAGGCGAGAGGTCACACAGGATTTGAATCAAGACGTTATCGCATTATTTGAAACGCGTACACAAATAGATGTTCTGATGTCTCTGCGATTATAGTTGATTACGGTAACATACAGAAGTCATCGTGGCCTAGAGGATAAGACGCCCGGTGTAGGAACTCGTATCGAGTGATACGACAGTGTCGGTGTTCGATTTCCGCGGGCAGCTACCGGTTTTTCTAATAAAATGCGTACTGAAGTCACTTTCACGAATTACTTCCACTTAAATAAAAGAGTGGCGGCGTGTTCTGAAGCTAAACACCAACGCCTGAAGAGACGACCATGACCACTCCGTCTAGAACAATACCAAGAAGAAATAAAAACTGCGATAAATTGTAATTTGTGTTATTAATTAAATTAGCATCCAACTCTTCTTTTTTTCCCTACCTAATCTGATGGTCTTGAGAGGCCATTTCAGCGTAACCTTAAATGGTAGATGAGCTCACGGTGCTCAAAACCTGACAATGTTGTTAACACTAACCCTAGCAAGAGCCGTGCCGAATCTACAACCGAATCGGAAACGCGACCCACTGAAAAGATCCGGCGAGAGGAGCATCCAACTCACCACATCCACATCACCATGAAGCCTCAAGCTGGATGGCTTAATTCACATTTTTTTAATGTTCATGGTAACCATTTATAATTAAAAACCATTTTAATGTATCTGGCACCAGTACATCCACACACATACGTGGTCGGGATTCCCGGTTGCTTATCGAAACGGCCCAAAATTAGAACGTTAATCAATTTATTGGTTATATACGAACGAATTGGTAATTACGGTACATTATATACTCATTTCCCTATAACAACAACTATTTCCCTACGTTTCGCGTAAATTCCAATTTTGAATTAGTTCCCGTGGTTTGGTATTCAATAAATTTGATTATAAATTAGCACCTGTTTCACGGGTCTTTTGGGATGGATGGCTGTTTCAGCTTCACTAGAATAGTCATTTAATAGTCATTTATAGTCGCCAGGAAAACACAAGACCGGAGTTAATATGTAGAACTTTTTTTTTATTGCTTATTTGGGCGGACGAGCTCACAGCCTACCTGGTGTTAAGTGGTTACCGGAGCCCATAGACATCTACAACATAAATGCGCCACACACCTTGAGATATAAGTTCTAAGGTCTCAGTATAGTTACAACGGCTGCCCCACCCTTCAACACGAAACGCATTACTGCTTCACGGCAGAAATAGGCAGGATGGTGGTACCTACCCGTGCGGACTCACAAGATGTCCTACCACCAGTAAAAACAATAGAATAGAACTAACAATAGAAGGCTTTTTCATTGAATAAACTTAAGCTAATTAAAAAAAAGAATTAAATAATCAATCTAAAACAATATTCAGTTCGAAGTATGTTTTATGTTAATAGGCATAGTCTATTAATTATTAATAAGCCTATTAATGTTAATATAACCAATTATCCGCTTTTAAATGGGAGAAAGCTTTTTGTACACAAATAACGTTTTTAGTAGGCAGCGGCTTCGCTCTGCCCTTGGCATTGCTGAAGTCCATGGGCGACGGTAACCACTCACCATCAGGTGGACCCTATGCTCGTATGCCCAGAAAAGAAGTGTTTCGAATTCAATAACTCTTTATTGAAACGTCACAAATAATGAACAACAGTAAAGGCTTAACTAAATATATATTTGCAGCCTTATCACTTATAGCAATCTGTTCCAGATAATCACGTATGGAAAGAAATTATTTACTAGGTATAGAGGACGGTAGCTTCAAAAATTTTACCTAAGTCAAATGTAATTTTAATAAATTGACCAATATAATTTTTGTGGGAACTTAATAAATCTAGATAAATAAGTATATTTATTTATACGTAAATAAATAGATTAATATACTACACATGACATCTAATACACAAATTTACATAAACTAGAGATCCCGTAGTAGTCGAAATTCGACTATAATTAATTGGAATTGTAAGTTTGTATACTATTATGATTGTATTTTCAACGCCAAGACTACAACACTATAGAAAAATATTAATAAAGACAAACAATATTTAATCTATTCTCAATTTGACCACAGACGT